TTCCGACCATCTCTTTGCCTTTCCTTACCCAGTCCTCTTTAGGTAGGCAGATAACCTAAGCCAAAAGTATGTGGTTATGCGGCACTTCAGCCGATGCTGTAATGCCCTTCCAACCACTTTGCCTTAATCCTATCCCGGGGATGTGCTGAAGCTTGTTCATAAGGTAGACTGACTGTGCGCTGACGTATAACCCCTTATCAAATCTAAGATATTTTGAAACCCGGGCCTCGGCTAGGGTGAACCTGACAAGGGCACATCCTCCGCGCGATGTTAAATTTCTAGAACTGTTGTAGAAACCTCTGGCAGAGGATGTATTGAGAATTCCCAAAACTAATAGCCACCCCTCCCATGGGGGTATTTCAGCATTTGGGTGCAGGTGAAAGAGACGCCTTCACCCGTGCAAGGCACGGCCACCCTAGGAGTAGATTGAAGGTTACAGGAACGTCAAAGACATGAAAAGTCAATATCCTATTGCCCTGGACCAACCTGAGTTCGAATATGTACAGTCCCATGGTATTATCATATGCCCTTATCAATTGGTAGTAGGCACAAAATCTGCGGGCTTTTAACCCGATAGCATATGCCGTCCTCAACGGGCCACGTGATAAGCAGATCTTGCGTCAACAAGGATACCGGTAGCCATTTTTTCTTACACTCAATAGAGTATAGAGTGTTTGTTGTGATCTGAGCCCTTAGGCGGTAGGTCTTTGTCAGTGAAGTTACGTCGGGAAGCTCCTCCCGAAAAAACCAACCCTACCAGCTATTCGGGTGTCGTGCAATTGAAAGTTTCGCTTTGTCCATTGTAGAAAGGACAACTTGCTGTGAACTCTTGAGGCCATTAGCAGTCCCCAGATGGAGATGTCTGCTTGGATTTTCTTAAGCTGTTTTAGTATAGCTCCTCATCGAGCAGTTTTTCTTTTTGCCTCTCTACCTCTTTGTCCTTCCCGGACGCCTCTGGTTGATCTAAGTGCGGGGGCTTGAAATACCGTCCACTCTTGGTTATGTGGTCAACCTCGCCAACATACCAGTATCATCCGGTTGGCTTTGCCTCCAATCTTCATCAGTGTGGGCAAGAACACAAGTCGTCATCTTCCCACTACATGCCATTGGCAACCGATAGACAACCTGTCTGGTTGCGTTGCAACTATTTCTGTGTGCACAGCACGTTCCG